TTTTCAGCTGCAGCTCTTCTGTGCAGCTGGATGTCTTTAAGAGGTACCGAAAGGCATGGAAAAACTATGTTGGTACTACACACGTACAAGCACGCAGTCAGACACAAACTCACTGCAACCACTGATCGAATCCTGATTGACCTATGAGAAAGACCACCATGGAGGGCATTTAAATTGACACACACATCTGGCAATCTGGGGGCTTAGCAGAACAACACACTTCATGTCTTTGTGCTGCTGTCTGAGACGAGGCAAAGTTGTCCTCAAGTGGAATGAACAGAAGATTCATCTGTCCCTTCACTCTCTGTCCTCCGCCTCGTTCTAGATGCTCGCAGGTCTTTCAGAATCTGAGACTGATGGGTTAGACACTCCTTCAACTTGTCCTCAGTCAGGGTGAGACGCTCTTCCAGCACTGAAACAGTCTGCATGAGGTGAAGCGGTGGGGGTGGGAAAGCATGATAATTACAGAGAAGTCAGAGAATAATTATACATGTAGAAACTAAGCAGAGCAAAGTTCAGTCTGAAATCAATCCTTTCCCAATGTAGAAAAAAACAAAACAAAACACAAAAGTAAATGAGAAATCGTCATGGCTTTCAAATTATCATCATTATTATTATTATTCATTTTGGCCTTGATGCATGAGATAGTCGAGATAGTAGAGACAGCAGAAGTGATTTAAATTTAAATATTTATATTACAAAGATTATTTAATAGTTCATTAGGTGTCATTTGTTTCTGGGAATCAGAAAATGCACCAAATATTTCTTATAGATGATAATGTCTGTGAAACAAAGTACATTCAGCAGCACATTTTTTATTTCTGGAGACAATTCTCATAAAACTGCAGAACTGAAAATGTGTTCAATTTTTTTCTTCTCTGTCTGCAAATGTCATAAAACATAAAATGAGGAAATGTCTCTGTTCATCTAATGGTGACACTTCTCAAACAGACAAAGAAGTGGGCAGCTAAATCAAATATTCTCACTCCACCGTTTGCTTTTCTTTACCTTTTATTAGACCTGTGCAACATAGCAATGTTGAATAGTAAACAACCTGATGCTGGGCTTAAACACTTCAGAGGGAAAAAATTGTCCTCCAATGTTTTTCCACTGCTGTCGATATTGTGAGTTGATATATATAAGCTTTGCCTGATAACTGACCTGTGTGAGAATATCCAGCTGTTGAACAATGTGCCGCAGGGTAGAGCTCACACTTGATGGATGACCAGAGAGAACTTCCAGTGGGTGTGTCTGCGACATCTCTACTTCTTCCTCTCGTCTTCCTTTTCCTTCTTTTCTGTTAGCCCTCGTTTCATTCTCAGCAGTCGATTCTGCCCTACTTGCACTTCCACCCTCGATCCATCCGTCCAGTCTTGAATTGGCAACATGACATGCTGGCAAACCGTTATAGTGGTGACTGTTAGCAGCAGCAGACTGCATGGGTGTCAAGCGGGGCCAACTGTTTAAGAGCTGGAGATGAAAGCAGGAGAAAACGCAAACTGTGTGGATATTGTTTTGTTCCATTTATGTTCCAAATGCACTGTATCACACGAGAAACCCATTTTAAATCAAATCACTCATTGTGACTCTCTGATATTTAATTCAGAACAGCAAAGGAGTCAGAAAGAAATAGAAAACAGTAGAAGAAACATCTGAATGACGTTAAATGTCAAACTGTTAAAGGAATTAAAGTTTCAGTTTGCAGTGAAATGACTGATTAAGTCACTTTTATTTTTAAGTCTGACATGTAAGCTGAAATCTACCTGATTTAAAAAAAAAAAAAAAAATAGGTTTAGGCTGAAATGAAAGTCTTGAAAAATAAAGGCTCGGCCTCCTGTAACTAATTTCATGTGGGAAATTAATTTTTAAGTTGAGAGTTGATAAGATACCTTTGTATCACTCAATCCTCATAGTAAGAATAAAGTTCAACCAGACAAAAGTTTGTGGCACAGGGGATGGTTTAACATTAGTTACAGTGGGCCTTATCTGGGATGCATCAGCGCACTCAAAGAATACTATAAATCATGTCAGAATTACATTCTCTTCCATTATCTGACATCATACACAACGTGCCAAAAGGAGTGCTCTTTCAAGCAAATGAACATTTGGTCTTCGTTAATCTTGGCAGTCCATGGAGCAGCTTCCCCCTCTTATTTTTGTCTTTTCCAAACACTGTTGGTACCTGGCATCTTCTTAATGACGCTGAACTCATGGCAGAAATCAACTGGAATATGAATTGAAGTATTGGATGTTACCAAAGTATCAACTGGAGTTTATTTGTAACTACTTTTTGAACTTAAAGTTCTACTATACTAGTAGATTACCGTGTTTGAAATATACATGTATCAAACAGTGACAGAAAGAATACATCAGAGGCTTTCATGATCCTGGATGATATGCAATCATAATACATAACACTATGCAGAGATAGCCAACATGCTTGCTGTCTCACTGTTCTGTCAGTGAAGGAGGCCTTGAGCCTGTTGCAACTTGGCAGACTGAAGTAGGTGGATGACTCACACTACTAGATTACTGACTGAAAGGCAGACTTTGTGACCGCCTGACTACCTTGCTAGCTAAAGACAAGTTCATAGGTTGTTTGCACTGAAGAGCTACAGATACAGAGCAAAGCAGGAAAAAAAACTATTTTGTATTTAATGCGACCTTTGATTTTGTATGCAATGTTTGTTTGTTTTTCCTTTCACAAGAAGAACATAACAAGGGAAAGTGAACAATGGAACAATGAGAGAGAGAAAAGAAGGGGGGGGGGTCATTATATTCAGTGTAATCAGAGTTAGAGACAGTGCATTCACTACAGCAGAGGCATTTAACACAGTAGCTATACAGCAGATAAATATCTATTCTAAAGAACCAATCATTGCTCAAGGGCAACTATCCTAACTTTTAGGAGGTCGGGATTCAAACTATCATGTTTTAGTTTTCAAAAGCTTTTGCTTAAAAACCAGCATAGCTCCGTAACCTCTTTCCAAACATTACTGTAATTCTGCAGATCACATGCCTTAAGGGGCTAGCAGTGACATTTAGTAACATCAAGTGATGACGGGCAAAATAGCCTGAAGTGAAGTGGGCGGGTCCCTAGTTACAAAATTCAGACGCAAACAACTGAAGCAAATAGCAATTAGAACGAAGGATTATGTTAATTTGCCTCGTAACAATGAACCATCAGTGACCCGGGGCAAGCGAATTGTTTCCTGTTTGGATGATTATTCCATTATTTTTCAATAAATCAACTAATTTTTAATAAAATGTCCATACCTCAATCCATATTCTGAATCACTTATCTAGTTCAAGGTCACAGGGGGAATGAAGCCTATCCTACAAGTCACAAAGAAGAGGCTGATGTTACACCGTCAACAAGTTGCCAGTCTAACACAGGGCTTTAAAAAACAAACAAACAAACAAACAAAACACAACAACAACAACAACAACCAATAGTTAAAGTTAAGTTCACTCCACAACTAAAACTACAGCAGTGGCATCTTAAAACTGTTTGGTCTTGACAACCAACAGCTTTGGCTAAATAAATATATGAACTGATTTGTTGTTGGTCCAAACAGTTATGTTGTAGAATGGTTATTGCTTAGCCAATCACATTATAATAAAAGAAAAACAATAATCCAGACAAAAATGATGAGAAGTTAAATTGTACTCAATAATAATGTGATGCATGGGTTGCACCAAAGAGAACAAAAGGAGGGGGACGGGGAAGGCAAGGGGATAAATGAGAGATGTTTTAGGAAGATCAAGACAGGCAGGAAGAGGAGGGTTAAGAGGAGGAGGAGGATGTCACACATTCCTAGCCTAATGCATGGAGCAATCGATTCCGGCTTACTTCCTGCATACTGTCCTCACTTCAAAGAGAGTATGGGGACGCAGGAGAGGGTGGAGGGAAGCGAGGAAGAATATACCAGGATGTCTAAAGAAAGAGAGGGTGGGTTAGGATCGACTGCTGGGAGGAGGTGAACATAGCTGTCAGTGTGTGGATGGTGAGTCTCGCGGAGTCTTGAACACCTTTTCACTCCTCGTTGATACATCTTGTCAACATCTGCTCAGCTCATTTACAGTTAACATCCCTCCACCCCCTCACCCACCAGGCAGTTTGGATACAATTAACGTTTAACAGGCAAGGCACTCCAGTGTGCCAGTCAAAAAACACACACACACGCACACACACGCAGGAAATTTCTTCTAACTATAATTTGTTAGAACCATGTTAAAAGATGGTGCACGGCATTATCAGGTATATAAAAGATATACAAAATCACGGAAACATGGATTGTTTAATGTAGAGGGGTCAGTGGAGCTAAAAACTCACAGTTTACGATAAGGATAATTTCAGAGATTAAATCGTGTCTACTACGCTTTATGTCAGAGGTCAGTCATGGCAGGAATGTTGCAACAGTTCTGCTGGCAGTGTTTTTTGTTTGATAGGAGTAGCTGGTTGGGTTTGGTTGGTTGAGCCAAGCAGAGCAGGGGAAAAACTAGACACTATGATAATGAGGTGGCAGACTGTGTGAGCTGAGTGTGCTCAAGTGTTGATAGGAAGGCAAGAATATCAACACAGCCTGTACTCAAAGTACATGTGCTTGTCCAATCTATGAAGTGCTTCCTAATTTGGCCACATTTTACTCCACAAGTAATGAGATGCAATATAAAAGACACAAATGTGAGTGTCTAATGGCAAACCAGAATTAAATGCTAATCATTGATTATTCAACGATATTGTTGATAACTTGACTGCAGCAGATTTACTTAAAAAGGGAAGTTCATTAGAACCACAATCCAGGTTAAAATGCTAACGGCGGCTGTGATGTTTACGATCAAAAGGATCCCCAGGAGAAAACAGATCACAAATAGCCTCACCTCCGCTTCTAAATCAAATCACAGATGTCTGATCAAAAACATCATTTCCATGAGCACCAGAATTAGCTGCGCTCTCTATTGTTGGCAGGAAACCTCGGGCATTGTGACCCTTGTATAACAAGCCATTTGAGCTTAATTGGAGGGCGTCTCTGATGTTCCTGCCCTTACCACTTGTGAAGCCACACGCGCATCTTCAAAACCTGCCTGATATTTATTAATTAACATGGAAAATCCTCCTTATGAAGTAGGTAGGCAAAGGGTTCTCCAAAGCGGCACTGTAATTGTTTTACCAATATTCAATCCACCAGACAGTTTCATAATAGCTGGAAAAGCACTAGCTAACCTCTTCCTCATTAAGGCTCACTGCTGCATCGTCATCACACAGATGCAGGCATTTACACCTGCTGTTAAGGCGCAAGAAGCCGCTGCGTTAGTCTCCTAAACGATAAGTGAAGCCACTCAGATAATATCGCAGCAAACGCACGGATACGGAGGAGAAGACAAAACCAGAAGCCAAGACACTGAAAACATGATTTTTTTAAAGAACTTTGGGGAAAAAACAACAACAAAAAAACAACAACAATTGACAAACAGTTGCAACATCTCCCTCTGTGTCTGTTTCTAAGATGGTGGTAAAAACTGGCATAATCTTACACTCGTGTCTTCAATCCAGGTATGACAGGGGTTGCCGCAAAAATTCCCCCCCAAAAAACCAAGGGAGGCGCACAACTGGCTGACGTGCCACAAAGATTGTGTCTCATGACACATGGATGTGAAAATTGTCAAGCAAGACCAGCGATGGACGAGCATAAAAACAACATTAGGATCCCGTTTGGTTCATGGCTCCATTCTTCAAATTTGCCAAGCATGACACATTTACTGGCATTAGTGCGCCTAACATCAATGCTGAATTTGTTGCACATGCATCAAGTTTTACAAGAGTTTCAACATCATCTGCATCTCTCTCATTAGCTTACGACTGCTGTTTTGCATGTACACACTCTCGTACTATATATAGCATAAAATGTGAAGTTGGGTTTTAAACTGACTGTACATTTGTAGTTATTAAAGCTTTTATCACCAAGCTGAGAAATTTTAGTAAAATTGTAGACAATGAGAAAAAGTTAAACTATACACAAAGCTTTTTGTCAGCCTTTACAAATCTTAAAGAAAAAAAAATACAAAGTCTTACTACGTGACATCCCACAGAGTACATCAGTACCCATCATGTAACATTGGCACGCCTTTCCTGTATCACACAGTTTATGCACCACCGATATTTTTCCTGTAATGGGAAGAGAACATTCTGTAGTCACAGGATGCCATGTAATGCAGTTAATAAAGCAGACTCCATGGCAGGAGGAAATCCTTAACCCCCCTCTTACCGTCCTCCACCCTGGTTTCACTTTTTTCACTTTCACACACAAGCAAATGTTTTGCCTCTGGATGCATTATAGGTGGCACGTACGCACATGTAGGCCAGCAACTGTTACCAACTCACGAAGATACAGTCACTCTCCAGAAGTCTTCCCTTGACTGTTAACGTTCCTGAAATCCTTGAAATGCAGTGGCGTTGGCACATTGCT